ACAAAGCATGTATGTATTTCTTTATTGAATATGAAAGAAAATGTGGTCTATTACACATGTTCACATGAAAACAGATGTTATTTTCAGACATATGAAATGTCTGAAATTAGTGTCCTCCATGTGAACCTATCTTCTGATTCATTCAACAATCTACCAACTGTTATGCTCATTAAAGTCATTTGAATGTCAATTGTGAATCCTTCTCCATCGCGGAGTGGATATCTTTCAGTGGCTTGCAAGAGAACTAGCTTTGCTTCAGAAACTAATTGATCGAGCCAATGAAAAAGGTTGGCGAAAAGAATATCCTTTCCATGCAGCTATTATAGATTGTATGCTTTATTTGAGTGCTTACCTCTGATTTTTATCCCCCTTCTTTTTCCCCCCCTTTGGAAAAGATGTCCAATTTTAGTCTTACAAGACATCGACACGATTTTTTTAACTGATACAGGTGATGTTTCATATAAATTCTCTCTTGGAAAATAATTTTTTATTTTTTGTGGGCCTTAACGTTTATCTTTCAAAAACGCTGTTCGAGTACTTGGAAAGAAAGGAACTACTTGAGAAATCAGATCAACAATCAAGGCTATTGCGCGAGGTTCCACAAATAATTGCAGAAGAAATAGAGGTTGAAGCTACACCAGAGTGTCGCCAAGGGGAAATAAAACAAAGAAATGATGATTCCCCGGGACCAATCATTGAGAAACCTGTGGAAGCTCCCGTTTCCGATACTAGCGATGATGAATTTGAATTAACTTGGACATTAGATATTGAAGGTATCTGTTCAGAAATTACTCATCTTTATTTTCATCAAATCAACGTCAAAAGTCTTTTGATCTGATTTTTCACTCTGCTGCGTTCTGTCACTTGTTTGTATGTGCCTATATTTTGTGAGTTCTTATCCTAGTTTTGAAGTGACTGACTAAAGAAATTGTGCGGCAGACTTGGTCTACTTTGTATCTTTTTGAAAACTAAGCATTTTTTTTTTTTATTTTTTTTTATTTTGAGCCTACTTGTTTTGGACTAGATGCTGCGAATTTATCTATTATTTAGTCGGTGTTTCCTAATGTGTGGTGTTGATGTTTTCCATAATTTGACTTAGTAGTTTGATTCTGTTTATGCTTTTCAAATGATTGGCAATTTCTTTAAATAAAAATTTGATCATCAGTTTTATTTGTTTATTTGTTCAATTTTTTGGTTTTAGAATCTGAGCGCGGTGGTTCAGTTCAAGAATCACAACAGCAGCTAACAAAATCCTTAAACGAGAACCGCGGGGAGAGTGAAGCACCAAAAGAGAATGTAAGAGAAAGTAAGTCATTGCAGGGGGTAATGGAGCTGCATGTAATTGATTTGAGCGACGATGAGGAAAGTGAAGCACCATCTCAGAAAGAGCAGACTTCCGGTGACAAGTTAGAAAGCCTGATATGGCATTATCTTGATCCCCAGGGAGAGATTCAAGGTCCTTTTGCTATAACATTGCTAAAGCGTTGGAGCGACGCCGACTACTTTCCTTCAGATTTTCAGATTTGGAAAACAGGTCAGAGCCCCAATGAAGCTGTGTATTTGAAGGACATTCTAAACCGGGTCTTTCCGAGTTAGTTTGAAAGTAACCGGACTTTTGTTGGGAATATATGTAACGTACCTTAAGATTTGTTTTCCTTGAGAAAATAACATGAATTTTGTAAGAAAATAATGCCATCAGATATTTTGTCTAGTTAGTTTTGTTTTAAGGCAGTTTCTCCCGTTTTTCCTTTTTTTTTTTTCAAGAACTCGGAGTTCTCTGTTTTTTCAGCCGTTAGATCTTGTTAAAATCACATCAGATTAAAAAAAATATGTAAAATAAACTAATTCTAATACAGATTTGACAGTTGAAAAGTAAGAAACATTGATGTTCCTAAAAAGGAAGGAACACCGGAAAAAATATCTTGTTTTAATTTGTTTGGCGTTGCAAAACCTTGGCAGTCTATTTTTCAACAAAGTTGATGCCTGTCCAGTGCTTGCAATCTTTGTACGTAGAGGATTTCTTCCGA